TAATGTGTTTTCATTTCCACTCAAGAATAGGCAACGTTTGTAACAATCCTGCTATTTTCTGACGATCTGGTTTCACTTGCTGGCAAATGAGACATCTGGATACAAACTCAGCCATTTCTCTCTTCATTCCATGCCACCAATAGTATTCTTTGAGTATACGATATATTTTTGTACTACCTAGATGCATCTCGTAAACTGAACTATGTACCTCTTCTAGAATTTCTCCCTTAAATTTTTAATCATCTGGAACACATAATCTGTTTCCCATAACTAAAGCTCCGTCATCTCAAATGGTATAATCTGTATGCTTACCTTTACTAACTTCTTTCAATTTGCTCAACACTGGATCTTGAATTTGAGTTTCTCTAATTGTGTCAATCAAAGTAGGCCTCACTTGGAAGTTGGCAAACAATGCTCCTACACTGGTAACTGATAATTGGGCATGAGATGAACATATTGCATTAGTCTGGGTCATAGGACTCGATATTTTTCGACTGAGAGCTACATCAACTACATTAGCCTTCCCTGGATGATAATCAATCTTGTAGTCGTAATCTTTTATCAGCTCTAACCATCTTCTTTACCTTAAGTTTAACTCTTTCTGATCGAAAATATACTTTAAGCTTTTATGATCTGTATATATCTGGCATCTCTTGCCATATAAGTAATGTTTCTAAATTTTCAAGGTTAGGACAACTGCAGCTAGCTCTAAGTCATGTGTAGGATAACTCAGTTCATATTTCTTCAACTGCCTAGAAGCATACGTTATAACTTTCCCATTCTGCATCAAAACACAACCAAGACCCTGACGTGAAGTATCACTATATATCACAAACTCTTCTCTAGAGATGGAAGGGTAAGAACTGGAGCTGACACTAATCTATTTTTCAATTCGAGGAAACTTCTTTCGCAATTTTCATTCCAAACAAATTTCACATTCTTTCTAGTCAAACTGGTCAAAGGCAGAGCAATTTTAGAAAACCCTCTACAAAAGACGATAAAAACCTGCTAAGCCAAGAAAACTTCGTATTTCTGTCACATTAGTAGGCCTTTCCCATTTAATCACTGCCTCAGTTTTCTGCGGGTCAACATAAATTCCCTCTACTGATATGACATGTCCCAAAAATGTTATTTTATCAAGTTAAAATTCACATTTACTAAATTTAGCATACAACTGTTTATCACATAGAGTTTGGAAATGATTATGAGATGCTCTGTCTGCTCATCATAATCTCGAGAGTACACTAAAATATCATCAATGAATACAATCACAAATCTGTCTAAATACGGGTGAAATACTCTATTCATCATATCCATAAATGTTGTTGGTGCATTGGTCAACCCAAATGACATCACAAGAAATTCAAAATGACCATATCTTGTCCTGAAAGCAGTTTTTGGCACATCATTGTCCTTGATTTTAAGTTGATGATATCCAGAACGCAAATCAATCTTTGAAAATACTGTAGCACAGCGAAGCTGATCAAACAGATTATCAATGCATGGTAAAGGATATTATTGCGAATTGTCACTTTGTTCAATTATCTGTAATCTATGTACAGTCGCATGGTGTCATCTTTCAGCTTCACAACCAAAACTGGTGCTCTCCACGGAGATACACTAGGTCTGATGAAACCCTTGTCTACCAACTCTTGCAACTGAACCTTTAGCTCTTTCAATTCTGTTGGTGCCATTTTATATGGTGCCCATGAAATAGGTGTAGTTCCTGGAATCAGATCTATAATGAACTCCATATCTCTGTCTGATAGTAATTCTTTTGGAAATATATCAGGAAAGCCCTTGACCACTGGGATGTCTTCAAGTTTTAATTTGCTAACATCTGTATCAATCACGTGAGCTAAATATACATGGCAGCCCTTGTTGAGTAATCTTCTAGTGTCAATAGCAGATATCACACAAGATGATAAAATTTTGCGCTGGCCATTAAATATAATTTTAGGCTGTCCTGGCTTTCTAAACACAACCTCCTTTCGAAAGCAATCAACTGAAACTTGATTTGTAGCCAGAAAGTCCATACCCAAGATAACATTGAAATCATGTATGTCAAGAGGTATTAAATTTGCTTTCAGCTCGTTCTCATTTACCTTAATTCCACAATATTGATATATATTGTTTGCTGATAGTGATTTTCCTACCGGTATACGCACTACCAAACAATTGTCTAGAGGTTCTAACTTTTGATTCGCATATAAAGAAAAATGCAAATGACATAAAGGAATGTGTAGATCTAGGATCAATCAAAATACAAGCATTTCTATCAAAAATAGACAATGTACCCATGATAACATCTGGTGACTCATCTGCCGCCTGCTGAGTCATAGCAAAAACTTTGCCCTGGATCTTCGGTCGTCCTGCCTGTTCTTTTGATTTTGTACCACTACCGCTTGCGATATTAGACTGGGCCACACTGTTTGCACCTCCTCTGTTAGCTGAATCATCTCTTTGAGTCTGATTCTGTCGTGTACTACCGGCACTCTGCTGAGAAAACATCTTCTGTGCCATGCCACCCTCCTGGAATACATCTGAGCAGTTCCTTTTAAGTTGTCCTTCTTAGCCACAGTGATATCAAACACCAACTCCTTTGAACTTTAAGCACTATCCAGAATGAGATCTTCCACGAAATTGGCAAGAAGGAAATCTGGCACTAGTAGAACTCTCTCCCTGTCTCAGAGTAAATGATCGCTGGGAAAAACCCTGAGTATAAGTACGACAGGCCAATGGCTGTCGTATAGTACTGGAACTGAATCTAGAATCCTGACTTCCTCGAAATCGAGATTTGAATTGACCTGAACTGGACAAACCAGTTCAAAATCCTCTACTGTCCCTCCGTAATGATCAGCTAGAAGCACTCGACATTCTCTAACTACTACATGCTCTGAACATTGTCTGTTCCCCACCACTTGGCCTCAACCAAAATTTACCAAATACTTAATTGATTCTTCCTAAACTCATTCTTTCTTTGACACATTTAAAACTATAGCAATATCAAACGAAACCTAAATAAGAATGTATAACCCTTCATGATCAATCTTGAATAGGTTAGTGATTTACCTCGTCTTACTGGCTAGACGCTTTTAATTTTTAATAGTTTTACATTATAATAAGTTTTTTTAAGGAACAATTGAGAATGTGAGATTATAATTCATTGGCACGTTAATATCAAACCAAAAACCTTATTTTCAAACGTCCCCAGCGCATATCTCCAAGTGGTAAAAGGGGAGGGTGGAGAAATCCAGCTTTGCTTGAGGCTGCTGCGTTAAGGGTTCGAATCCTGAAATATGGATTTGGCTCTTGGGTAAGTGCAAGTGTACAAGTAGTCTTCCACCCTGTACCCGTGAAGGCATAACGTACGATTTACCTCCCTCACGATATTTCAGGGCAAGGGTGATGGGGGACCCTTAAGGTTAGGATTTAACCTTTTTTTTTTAAAAACCTTATTTTCAAATTATTAAATGCAAAACGTGTGTAAGTCGTAGTTTATTACGAGTGGATCTTAGACTACGAGGTCTTACGTTAGAACCACTGGGCATATTCATCGTGGGAACAAAATCAGCGAGTTCATTTTGATCAATGATAAAATTATACAGTACAATATACGTACGTGGCTTGTAGAGTATTTAGTCGTATACAAGTTACAACTATGCTTTCCTCAGTCCTCTCTATATAATGTGTATAGTAGTTGGACCATTTTTTTTGGAACGGCGTGATTGATTTTCTCCTAGCAGGTCAATCAATCATCCTTCTCCGAGTTTGGCGTTTACGTGAATCTAATTTATCTATACAGAAAAGAAGACCCAAAAAAAGGTAAAAACATAAAAAATGTTAGTGGGTTCCTTAGCAGTTAAGGACGATTATTTGGGATATAGGGGCTGTTCCTTTTGAAGAGGAATTATCTAATTGTACTGGGTGCAGGTGGGATTGTGGTGTGCTTTTGCTGTTGAGGGCTGGAATTGCTAACACTTCTGGGCATGGCCAAGTACTGGGTTTCTTGCTATCGTGGTCTCGTTTGCTCTAAGTTACTATTTTTTTTTTTTTTTTTTTTTTTTTTTGGAATTTTTCCGGTTTATGGATTCTATATTAAATTGTTAGTTGATTCTCAAGCATGACATAATAGAGGATTAGTGTCTCATTGTCCTATTTATTGAGTAGTTTACCTAAATTGTCTTTTCAGTTTGCAAAATTATGATGGTGAATTTTGATTATTCAATGGGGACTTGAGTTGTGATTGTATATTTGCTTCCTCAAGGTGTAGTACTTAGTATATTATATGAAGACTTTTCATGTTTAAATTCTTATTTTAGGAAAACTAATTATAAGTTATTTCCTACTTAAATTATATTAGTTCATCCTGGTCTATACATCGTAGTACTTGGATATGATTATTGGAAAACTACAATTTCCTCTCTAATAATTCTTACTCTTCTCTCCGCTTCTCTGATTCCTCTTCCCTTCATGTCTCCACCTCATCTTCTTTTTCTCCCTCTCTTCCCCTTTCTTTGCGCTTCTTCTACGAGTCTCGCTCTTTTGTTGATTGTCTCTCAAGTATTTCTAGTTGTTATATGGGAATTTTTACTGATGGAAATGATTGAGGAACTTAACTTTGCGTACCTTAATTTTGATGATAATTGAATGGTTATTAATAAACTTCGAGTAATGATTAGACACAACCAACTCGGCTAGAATCTAACTTTGGGTGCTCCTGTTATTATTGAGGCAGTTTGTCTGCTTGAATGGCAGTTATAATCATGGTATATAATTTTAATTTATTATATTCTTGGAATTTAGTGGTACATCATGCTTGTGGTGCTATTCATGTTGCTTGAATAAAAGCGATTCCCACCATCTCTCTCACCTCGCATCATGCCTCAAATTCAAGGCTGATACCTCTTTTATTACCTTTTGGTCTTTGCATTGTTTGTCTTTCATATAGAGACAAATGGATGTATGGTTCGCACTTAATTTGCTGAGCTTGACTGCAGGAAGGAAGTAGAAGAATATGTCCAATGGGAGACTTTAAGCTTCCTCGATTTGATTGAGTAGAGTTTCTATTGGCACATCCATTCTATTCACTTGGAATTCAAGCTGGTTCTCATTGATGTTTAACGTTCTAGTGTAGCATAATGAAGGCTTATTATCCAATGTAATAAAAGGTGTAACAACGGCTCAAATAGAGTGCATTTTCACTTATGCATATGATGAAATTCTTTACATATGAAAGGACCAAGAGGAAAAGAATTTGTGATTGGTGGAAAACAGTTTTGTCTGACGAGATCAATCTGCTCTTTTAGACAAAATAGTCGGGTCAACTTACTCTTAACCTCTTTGCTATCACTTCAGCATGTTGCTTTGCTAAGTTTTCCTAGTGTTTAGATCTTCACGTTAATGATGAAATAAGTTTATAGGCTACTCATTTTTGGTATCCAGCCGCTGTTGGTTTTGTTGTTTGTATATCTGTTTGTGGGTTTGTTTGCCGTTCTGTTTAGAATTCTTTCCCCCATTCCTACTCCTTGTCTGGGCCTGGCTGCATCTCTCAGTGCTGGGAGGGTGAGATCTTGATAATAAATTTTAGATGAGAGATAATTGATGTGGAATCATATCCATAATTCCTCCTTATAAGTAGACTTGCAGTGTGTTTGGATGGAAGGGGACGATGTTAAGGGAATAATTACTTGTGGAGTGACAAGAAGCAATTGAAGGTTTAAAATTAGCCTACATTTTTATTTAGATAATTTGATGAAAAGGAAATTGAATATTCAAAAATAATTTACTGACACATGTTTTTCCACACAGCACGTTGGTTCAACTTATTCCTTTCCTCTCCTTTGCTTCCCTCTCCAGTTACACACAAAACTAAAAATATCCCCTTCCCTTCATTTCCTTCCCCCCCCCCCCCCCCCCCCCTCCCCCCTCCCTCCCACATGTGCGTTTTCCTTTTTTATTTTTATTTTTCCACTGCATCCTAAGTCAAAAGGAAGTATTGCTGTAGCTTAATTACTGAAGTACTGCCTTTTTGGTTTTATTAAAATCCTCACTCCTAGTAAATAATCATTTATATTGATAATCATACATTTTTCTTCTTTGAATAACTGAATGGTTTGTATATTTGCAATTGATCCAGATGAAGTTTATAGAATGATCATGAGGACACTAATATATTGACTAAAATCCTTGAGGTTAATAGTAGTGGTGTCAATTGGGCCGGCGAGATCGTGCCAGTTGAAGGGAAACTTGTACCTTGTGGCGGGTGGGCAGGCCTGGTTTTCCAGTGGCGAATCCACAACATGATTTAGTGAGGGCAGAACTTAGCAGTGCAACAAGCCAGAGATCTACTTATTTAGCAATGAATAGGTAGAGATCTGTCTTAGCACTGAATACATAGTGATCACCGGCTTTGTAGCTGCTTAACGGGTACATAAGCTGCCTTCTATCAGCAATGGAAAAGATTTGAAAGGAACCCTTACAAAAGCTCGTCTTTAACTCATGCAAAACACTGGTAGTTGAGGTGTTATGGTTATGGATTTCCCGGAACGAAAATGATACTTTGTCCTGATCAGGAATTGCTGGAATATTACCTTTTTCATTTATAAAACAGGAAGAGTAAATACCTCTATTATATTTTGATTTACGTGATTCAGATTTTAAATAAAATTGTATAAAAATGAAGATAAATAAAGACATCAGAAAATATAAGTCATGCAGTAATTTTCACTATTCAACTTAAAATAACTTGATAAAACATAATAAATTATACTAGTACATGAATTCACCTGAATTTATTTTTCGCTGAAACCCATAGGCCACCCAAATTGAAGCTCTTCGTTGGACTTCTACAATGGGACACAAGTTTGTGTTTTAAGCAGCAGATGAATGATTTTCATGGAAAAGGACTTGTAGTGGCAATGATTCATTGCATTATTAAAGAACAGTGGTGATTGAGAAACCGAAAACAAAACAAAATAACAAGGAACTTGGTCAATTTTTCACCTTTAAGTTTTCCATGTTTATTTGTATGTCCTGGTGATGCAGTATACTATGGAAGAATTATAGGAGAGGGGAAAAGGAAAGAGAAAAAGAAAAGGAGAAAGGAAGGAGGGAGGGAGGGAGGGAGGGGTAGAAAGATGAAAGGGAGAGAATAGAGGGATAGGGGAAAGATATCAATTTTTATTTAAATCAAAAGCTTGTCTGAATTGCATTGCATAAACCCCTTTATATAGGATTTCAAAAGACTCATTAAGTAAGAAATACTATAAAATCAAATCATAATTTCGTTTCCTAAAATAAGCTTTAAAATTGGAAACTAAATAATATAATCGCTCTTATAATATTGCGTCATTTTTCTCCGACTGAGAGAACTTGACTCCGGCGATGTAGAATAGAACTTCGTACTCTAAGGAGGTCAATTTCTTGTCTTCACCAAATGCCTGTATTGGACCTTGGACGACAACATCTCACTGAATGCGTACCAAGGATGACGATCTTTCTTATGATTCAAATAACAAAACTAAATAATTGACAATAATTGAAGCTGCAAATCATCTCCAATAATATGATCTAGCCAAGGGAGACGATTTTCCTTTTAACCAAGCAGCGAGAATGATCTCCAAAAAGCAACAACACATGCAGCTCATCCGCAAAAGTTATTATAGAATTCACCAAATAAGTGCGAGACACTAGCATGGTAGATTGGTTTGTAGAAACAAATGAGTGTAACACCCGTAGCTTGGATGTGCCTTGAGAAGTAAACAATTTTGTCATATTGAAAACATTACATTTATTTAAGTGTAATGGTCGGTCAAATAGATTAAATTCAAGTGAGCGATCTAATTTCTTCTTTACATATTTTGGACATCGTGCGAAAGAAATACGGAATAAGGCATAAAAATCACCATGGAAGTATTTGTCTAAAAATCGTGTTGAGTGCAAGCTCATAAATTTTATGACTGAAAATAGTTTTACTTTTAAACTCGTCATGAAAATCAAGAAAGGAAAAAGCTAAAGTAATATGATGATAATTAGTAGGCAACAACCGAATGTCAATAGGAAATTGTTTCGTTGGACAATGACCTTAGAGCACCTGTCAACTAAAGGAGTATCATACCGTGGAGGGAAAGTCGTATGAAAAGCAATGTTAGAGTCACACAAAGGATTAGACCTAAACGACTTCGGCGTGAAATCGAGGATAGGTGGATTATTTGACTTAGGTGGCAACACAGTAGATAATTCCTCATTCTCGATATCTAAATACGCAATTGGCTCAACAATAGGAACCTCAGTTTCTCCCTCAAGAGTAATACAACTAGACTCAGAAGGTGATTGTCGAGATAAGGGTGGTAGACCTAGCTTATGGCTCATGTGGTGAAGATGGAAGGGTAAGTTGATTAGCCTGTTGATAAGCGTCACCTAAGGATTAGAATGTAGGATTATTATTAGGTAAGATTTCAGGATTTAAACCATATATAAACTTAGACGCTGTGATGTGAAGAGGTTCATAAATATAACAATTGTGTAGCAACTTCGAAATGGGTAGATATGTATTAACAGTGGAATTGCCTACAGTGCAAAAAGAATTAATTTAACAATTAAGTTCGATAATATACAGTGGCATATTATTACTTAGAATTTGTTTCATCTCATCCCACGAGGTGACAGTGCGTTGACCTAGACGATTACGCAAATATAATCTCCAATAAGTTTTAGGAGAACCAACCAATGACATATTAGCATGACAAATTTTACATGAGTCACTTAAATTGCGATAGACTAAGAATTTTTCAAGATTGTCAAGCCAATCTAGAATGAATAGGGTTTAGTAAGGGCATCTTCAATGGTTGCACCATTGCACCATTTTTTGGTGCAAAGTTGCTCCAATGTAACACCAAACTTTACACCATTTTGGTGCAAAATGATACAAAGTGTAAAATGTCTCTTTTGCCATTATTTAACATTGCCCAAATAAATTTGTTAAAGGTATTTATGTCATTTGTGCTATATATTTTTTAATACAATAAATTATTTTTATTTTTATTAATATTAATATTATTATTATTTGCATTTAAAATAAATTTTAAATGTAAAACATAATAATTAATAAATTAATTAAAGACGAAAACAATTTAAAATACAACAAACACAATTATTTATTGAAGTTAACACGAAATATATTAAACAATGACATACATACGATAATCTAATTTTATTTTGAAAAAAAGGAAACATAAAAAACTCACATTGCACCTCGAAATGCATTAATCGATCATTTGTGGGATGAACATATGAATTCCGAGAATTAAATTGCAAAAATTTTGCGACTTCAAAATATCATATATCCAAATTCGAAATGCATTGTACTATTTTCTGATGGCATGATTTCATATTTTCGTTGTTGTATTGTTTTTATTAATTGTTCTATGTTTTTCTATATTTATTAATGAATTTAATATTTTCTGTAATTTAACGTAATTATTTATTTAGTAATTTATGTGTTTATAAAATAATTAAATAAATAATATTTCAAATAAATAAATTATAAAGAATAAAAAAGGAAAGAAAATGGTTAAACACTGTTCATATGGTGTAACTTTTGGTGTAATGGTTGAAGATGAATTTTAGTTTGGTGTAAGATTTGGTGCAAAATTTAGTGCAAAATGGTACAAAATTTGGTACAAGGCTGGAGATGGCCTAAGACCACCAAAGTCCCACAGGTTGATTGAAAGTTGCCTAAAAGGAGAATGTACGTACTCAACAGAAGTCCTAGACGGAGGATAATTGTGTTAATAAGTGGAATGAAAAGGTACGTGTCTATGGTAGTGATCAAAGGACGTGATCTATGCATAGGAATTCTTATATGGAAGCAACCGGAGATTTGGAGGAACTAATATATTTGGGGCTGCAACGGCTATCAAGGCAGAGAAAAATGGGTACTTAGATCATGGAGGTGTGAGTGGCGTGGCTTCTCGTGGTGGTGATGGAAATAGAGGAGGAACGGGTGATTTTCTGTCTTGGATGGAATTAAATTGTTGGTGTAGGTAAGGGTGGACAAAACTTGCCAACTGAACCAATTGAACCGAACCGGAACCGGAACTGGAACCGCATGGTTCTTCTTAAATTAAATGCCCAAACGGGTATCTAAGTCGAAAACTGAAAGATTTGATTCGATTCTCGATTTGAGACCAAGAACTGGAAATTAAATAAGAACTGAATCTTCTTATTTCCCCTTTTTTTTATCTTAAATAAATCAAATTATTTTATTTTTTAAAATAAATTTGCTGGCTAGTTAATTTAGCTCAAACCCAAAATATAATTTTCCTATTTCTAATTTTTAGTTCAAGCCCAACTTAATCAAGTTAAACTAAGTTTTACTTAAATTTCTTATTCTACGTAGTGTCATTTATGCCGTTCTGGAGAAATTGAATTGGAAACTCGGCTACATCTCTCTTCATTATAGTGAGTTCGCTATCTTCCCTTTTTTGTGATTTTAACAGTTAAATCTACAAAGATCTAAACAACGAGAAGTGCAAAAAATATTACGAGATTAGACCACGTTATTTTGTAAGAGTTAAAATTGAATATATCATTAGTTAAATTAATGTAACGTCGTTGTAAATGTTAAAAAATTAATAACCGAATCAAACCAAATTGAACGGAATTGAACCCGAATAGTTCCATAATCAATTTTGTACCCACGGTTCGACGTACTAATTATCCGAAAATTTGGGTTTGGTTCGATTTTCTTTAGAACCGAACTGAACCAGACCATGTCTAGTCCTAAGTGTAGGAGGTGTGTTGAGGTGGTGGTGGAATGATGGGATGCTGGCAAAGCCGGTGGTCAGGACAATGGGACTGGTCAGCATGATACTCCTGGGGTCAGGCTATTATGAAGGTATAGGTTAGATGTTGTGACGGCTGGATGAAGTATTAGCGATGGGTATTTGGTGGGTGGAGGAAAGTAATGGTGGTGGCTGTAGACGGCGACGATGGAGTGGTGATGGAGCCCATTGACGTTGGCAGTTTGAGCTAGGGATTATGGTTAAAAGCGTACTAGGTGGGCTATGGAAAGTGTGCTATTGTGCATGGGCTTATTATATGGTTATATGTGGCAGGTTCGAGGTGAGTATTTGTGTGATGATGGTTATGATGTTGGGTTAATATTAACTGATTATTATTGGGGCGGAGTCAACTAGTCTGCTAGGCAGGTCATGCGGAGAGTAATTTAGTGAGTTGGTCTGTATGGTGAATGGGCTAGGGTTATGTTGGGCTGTATGTGATAATGGGTGTCCAATGGGTTAGGATAAATAGGAGTTGGTTTGATTGTGTTGAAATATTTAATTGCATTGTCTGTATTTGGCTTGTGTGTAAGTGGGCCAGGATTGGGTTTTTAGAGTTGGACTTTTGTGTTTTGAAGAAGCAATAGCAATAGGTAATCTGTAATTGAAACCTTACCTTTTTTTTTTCTTTCTTGGAACAAACTGCAAAAACTTAAGAGACTGAAAACAAACTTTAGTGCTACTGCCGATCCTTTTTGTTTTGATTGAGTGGGAAAAGTTGGTGATGGATATAAAGGGTGGTGGTGGTATAATTCAGATTGCTTATTGGTGTTGTTCAAAGGAAACAGGGGGGAAAGGGAAGGGGGGGAAAAAATGGGGGGGGGGGGGGGGGGTGGATATAATGAGAAGGAGAGAATAGAGAGATAGGGGAAAGATATCAATAAAATAAGCTTTAAAATTGAAAACTAAATAATATAATATTTTTTATAATATTGCATGAGATGTTTGGGATTGATGTTCTATTTCAATTGTCGTGATATTTCTGGCTCCATCATTTGGTCAAAAATAAAGAATGAGAGTGAGAGAATAGAGAGGGGAAATATGTCCATTTTTATTCATTCAAAGCTTGCCTGTATTAGATTTCATAGGCCCCTCTATATAGGGTTTCAAAAGCCTATTCTAAGTAAGAAATTCTATAAAATCAAATCATAATTGTGTTTCCTAAAATAAGCTTTAAAATTGGAAATTAAATAATATATAATCTCTTATAATATTGCATCACTTGGTCCGCATACCAGACTCAAAGTGGGCCAGGTTCGGCCTACATGCTGAACCTAGAAGTGTCAATTTTTTATATGAATTGAAAATAAATTCGTAATTGTAGAAATCATATCCGAATTTTGGAATATAGTTTTTTCAAACTAACAATTTACAATTAGATGCATTATATAGTTGAAGATATATCCCAACTAAAAAACCTACTTAGCTATCAATCATTTATATCTTATAGTTTCAGTACATCCAACTAGGTTGGCATTTATTTAACTTTAGTTCAATTATTTGCACTCATATGGTGTCTATTACGTCGAGATTTTGGAAGTCTTTGGTGATATTTTCAAAATTTTGATCTTATATAAATGTTGTATCTTCCCAATCCTTCATGCAAATGACTCTCCCTTATATCTTCTTCATCCTTGGCCCTCTTTTGCTCGGCACCTTGTTACCAATGTTGAAAGTCGATTCCAATACTGTTGTTGAGATTTGATATGTAGTGAATTATCAGCCAAGCCAAGCCAAGACGTAGCAGTGGATATGACCATTCATGTGAATTCCACTATATGAAAATATCAAAGTATTGTATTTGTTCCTGTTTAAGAATTCTAGTGTACTGTAAACAATGTCATAGTTTGCAAGTAATTCACATTGTACAATCAGTGTTATTTAATGTAAAACTAGAACTACCATTTCTTTGTTAAGATATTGTAGAATACAACAATGATTTTCCTTTAGAAGTTGTATTCTACAATATCTTAACAAAGAAATGGTAGTTCTAGTACAACTTTGTTGTTACCATTTTTAAGAATAGAAATATTATACATTCAATTTGGTAGCTGTATTAAATATTTTAGTTCAATTGTTATTTCAAAAGTCAATTTCCTAGAAATTTTCTTTCACTTATTCTCGTACATTTAACAAGCAGCATGGCTGCATTTCCAGAAATACATCTGAATAAGGTTGGATATACTTTTTGTTGTGCACGCTCTCTAGATATACAAACAACTTCTATGAATCATTCCATTCTTTTTCTATTTTCTTCCCACAAAGAAGAAAAACTTGTTGGACTAATTGACCCACCAAGAACAGGATCTACTAGAAGTACTTTGGGTTTGTGTGGTATTGTATGATTGTGCTTTAGTTCAAGTGACAAGTGCCAGAACCCTATTTTGAAAAAATTAGACTACTCTTGTTTCTAATTTTTCTAGCCAAATTAATTTCTTTAGTGAAAAAGTTTACAGCACAGAACAGAATTGTTGAAACAAATTTGAAACAGACAGAGACATGCAAAGAGAACATATACCATGTCTTCTTATTTTCCCCACAAGAGGTTCATAACGGAGGGACTAGTCATTGTCGAAGTAGAAAGCGCAGGTTATCTTGAACAGTTGCTGCCTGTTTGTTTCTTACATGAAGTAATGCTGCATATAGACACTGATTCCTCTTCTTTCTGATTGACATGCAAGTTTGTTAGTTGGAGAGAGGCTTAAATAAACAGTTTCCTCCCCATACTCAGGAAATATTCAGGAATTTATTTCAATGATTTCACATGGTTATAAGATGTAGACTTTCAACTATTACTACACAGATTTTGAGAATTGATTTTCTAGGAAGAAGGAAGTATCATTATCATTCTTATTTGGCATCAATTTCTTTCTATTATCTGCATTATGATATGAACTAGTTGGGTGCAGGATTGTGTTGTCAAAGTGTTAGCAGCAACTAAGGAGATTAAAAATGTCGACCAATTGGAGGACAAGCATCGTGAAGGGAATTTCAAGAAGCCGAAAGAAACCAGTGAAGGAATCGAGAAGGCTGAAAATCGATAGTCAACAGCTGTTACTCTAATTTGAGTTTGTTCACTCCACAGTACTCTTAGATGCCTCTCCTATAGACCATTCGATAATTCAAAACCTTGTAGAAGGAACTGGTTTCTCAAGTTTTCTGGAGTTTTGATTTTGACAATGAAAGCTTAGCTGAAATGGAATTAATGTTTGGCATCTTGCATATATGTTAAAATATTGTTTTATCAGTGTTTGTTTACCTTGATCAAATGACGATTGTTTGCACGTAATAGAACTACAATTCTGAGTTTTTCGTGCCAAGCTTCGTTCTTGTTTATTTATCATATGAACCACGCTTTTCTAAGCTTCACTTTGTCTAGTATGAGGTGGAGCTCCAGGTTCGAGAGGAGGACAACGGCTAGGAACAAAACGGTGTTGGTGGCAGTGGTGGTATCGAAGTGTAACGTTCCGAGATCTTTTTCATCTTCATTATTTTATTCTTTTATAAAAATAGATTTGAGGTGCTACCAACATCTTCTTTGTCTAATTTAAGTGGAAATATCACTTTCATTAAGTGTTGAAAATACATAAAATAACTACTAAACAATGTGCACAAAATTTAATATGAAAATGTGCTTCAAACAAAATTTAATATGAAAATGTGCTTCGAGAAAATTTACTTGGCGATCCAATAAGCATCACTCGGTCAATCTTTCAAGCGTTCAAACGACCGGTTCTCATCTGAAAAGTATTGTAAGAGCAAGTATTTTGAAAATACTTAGTAAGAATATATACACATTTTTATTTACATGATATAAATATAAAACCGACATAATATACCAACATTTCTTAGATTTAAAGTTCAAGGAATTTTTTAAGAATCCCCATATCCTATAGGATTTAACATCTTTGACCAAATAGTCCATCTTGTAGGATTTAACATATTTGACCTAACGGTCAATTCCGAAGAATTTAACATCGAGTTAGACCCGAAGGCTTCATAGCATTTTATGCCAAAATTTATACAAAGATCAAAGAATAAGAATTTATCACTTTGCAAAATGTATTCTTACCTCAATTTGATATCCAAGAATTTATTTGAAAATGATTTGTAAAAAATATAAATATGATACTCAGCTCAAATTCTAAAAATATTTGTGGTGGGAAGTATGTACAATAGAAACTGTGGTAGAAGAAAATCATTTCAACAATGTAGAGTTTATGTGTATGAATGTAAAGGAATGAAGTTGTGAAATTGTCTTAAAAGTAAAAGCAATCACCTAAATATATATACTCATAACAGTCACTTATAATTAGTTATGCACGTAACATAAATCAACAAAACGCATGTTAGGTTAAGGGTGAATTAATGGTGTTAATAGAATTTATTCATTATCAAGATTAATGAGGATAATTAGGTTTAATAAATTTAATTATAGGAAACCTATTCGTTTCCTTCCAATATAACCACGACCGTTCATATTTCTAGGAAAACTTATTTTATATTATATATTAATAAAATATTAAAAGATAACATATTTCTTTTTATTAGAATAACTGGAGCATACTAGTTCAAAATTATTTTTTTATTCCAAATTATATTATTTAATACAACGATAAAGCGAGTATAATATTGATATATTTTATCAACTTTTAAAATACGTAAATATTTGACCTAAATAAGATTTACGATAAATTCTAAGTACATGTGACGAGAATAAATCATCAACATTTGGACTTCTAATGTGACAACAAATATAAACATGAATTATTTCATTTGCTAAGTAACTCATATTAAATTTAGGCCCATATGAAAAATAGTAAAAAAGTTCAGGGTGTTGCAGAAGTGTCTCAATTGAGCGAATATATAAACGAAACTCCAGTTAGAATTATTCTTGTAAATCTAGAACCCACATCAATATCAAGCTCATTTAAACTCGAAGAATGCAAAGTTTGATTTTGAGCACGTGAAATTACCAAAGCATTCATGGTTCATAGTGTGCCCAAGGGACTAACCTCAATATATTTTATGTTAAGCACTGATGACGTGCCATATATATTCATCGGTACATAAGCTTATATTGGACCTCAATATTTGAATTAACTTTAAAATTTATCAATAAATTTATATGACACTTCATCGTTGTTTAACATAGATGAACACTAATATTCACTGCATCATTTTTATATATATACAGTAATGATCTCCTAAGTATCAGTGCTTAGTTTATGTTAAGTATCGATGACATGGTACGTCATTTAATTGATGAATCATTAAATTCATGAGACATACCATTAACTTATTCACCAATTAAATGGTGTGTCATGTCATCGATATTTAACATAAGTTAAACACTAATGTTTAGGAGATATATTTGACACATCACTTTATAATTTAAAATGACAATTTTAGTGGGACACAATTCAACCATAAAGAAACTATGTTCCACTAAATTTTGACACAATGTCAAAATTTGATTGATGAAATGGTAAAAGGAATAGGTGAGATGGGACAAGACATCTCAACTCGTTTAGAGCAAACACTATGAGAGATAATTCATACTTCTCTAGCAAATGCCCGCACTTTTGATAACATAATAACAATTATTAGAAAAATATTTTCTCTTTGTATTCATTAAAGGATATCAAACGTGCATGGCCAGTGCGTAACACTAAGCAAACTGATAAAGACAACTAATTAATCAAAATAATTAGTGTGTTTCAAAAGGGTATCTATCATGTAAGACACACGCTTACTTATATTATTATTGTATTCATTTAGCTCCTTAGATGGGATTAAAATCAAAATTTTAGTCCCCGTTTGATCCCCATTAAATTCAATTACATTACATTCATTTTTCTCTCTCTTATTTTCAACCACACAATCTTCCATAAAATAATATTACATATAAGTCGAAAATTTTTCCTTTTTTTTTCAATCACTCATTTTTCTAAAAAATACTATTCCCCCCATTTTTATTTTCAGGTAATGAAGGTCAAACGAGGGCTTAATTTAAGTCAACGTCAACAATTATTTTTAGCCACATATTTGATGGGACTCACAACCTTTTAACCACACATTTCATCAATTTTTATCAAAATTTAATAAATATTTGATTTTAATCATCTACGGATTAATTTTATAAAAGTGTTTTTTCTAGAAGCTCTAAAAGCTGGTCCACATACAAAATGGCAGAAAATAATGTGACATATATTTTTACATTTAAGAGGTCCAGTCACTTAATTACACTTAAGCGACATCTAAATTGCTTAGCATCACCTGTCTATATGAATAACATTATTCCTGCCGAACCATAAGCAAATAAACTTCCATTTTTCAATATTTCCCAAAAAAAAATTAAAAAAAAAGCTTAGTAGTATTATTATAATATTCAAATATTAAATTTTAGTAATAAATATTAATCGACATGGACGGAAATTAGAAACACAACGGTAACTTGTAAGCCAGTTACAACAAGGATAATGAGAGAGACATTAATGAAATGTGGCCTCTGAACTTCCTTCTAACTACATTATCTTGGGGGGCTCTGCATTTCAAATTTTTACATTTCTTGATTAGATTCACTGGTACATAATTTAACGGTCACATCTACCAATTTAATTTTCTGCTATATAATATATACATACACATTTTCTTCATAGCTTTTCAGTGTGTTTGAGAAGAACCCATGTTGTAACCAGGAGAATATTTTGTCTCCCTTCATTTGTGAGTTCATCTCTCTCTCTCTCTATGTATAACAAGCTTATTGCATCCCACTTCCCTTGCGAAAGGCGGGTTTATAAGCACTTTGGATATTTTTCCCTTAAAAATTGATTTTAAAGGCGACTTCATCGAAAGTAGTTGTTACCTTCTTATTTTCCTTTTTATTAATCATTCTTTTCTTGTATTGTTTATATAGTATTGGACATGAGTCGACAACAAATGGACAAGATTTTTGCTTAAGCTAGCATATTTTTGGCATTATTTAGCTCTTTCTTTATTATCAAAGACAATAATTTGATGCATAGTTGTGGTGCTATTTAGTGACACATAATGGCTAATGAGTGAGAATATTGATAGATCACTTTCCAGCATAGAATTCCATGCCTTTCAAAGAGAAAAGCAACAATTCAGCACTTGCTTTTACTTTAGCTTTATTGTGAATCCTTTTTATTTTATTTTACCTTTTTGTTTCTCAATGGTCGCTTAAATTTCCTATATGGTTTCCTAGACCTTCTAGGCATGTTTCTTACGATACTCGACAGACACGATTTTAATTTCTTTTTCTTCTTTAATATTGCAAGTGCAGTTGAATACACATGGCTAAACTTACCTTCTGTTCATAGTTCTGCTGCAAGTTAATTTCCTTTTTGATGCATCATGATAAAGTGACATTCTGCTTTTTTTTTTACTTTGATAAAGTCAATGAAGAATCTATTGCTTTTTAAACCTTGTTCAAAATAAGGACCCCCCAATCTATTGCATCAATTTGCAATTAAATTCCACTCTCATATTTAAAAGATATCAACAAGAAAAGTTAACAAGAAGTACAAAACTGAATTTATACTACATAAAAAAGGAATTTTAAATAATTTAATCAACGTATCGTTTCAATACTTTTTTGAAAAATCGTATGTAAACGTATCTGACACGTGCATTGTAGCTTCTGCATTAAGTCCTTAGTCTCTCTACAGTATTTTCATTAATGTACACATTTTTCTTACTTTTTTTGTTATCTTGTTATATTTTCATTAAATGATCTGTTTTTTAAGAGTTTGATTTAGCTAATGCGATGCTTCCAAAGCTAAACCAAATGGCTCGCCTTTCTTAGATAAAGTCTGAAAAGAATGGCTTTTTGTTCAAAAGAGTGCCAAACCATTATAGAGATTTGGAACTTTATAATTGAAAATTCAAAAGTTCAAATTCTGATTCAACCATTTACTTCATCTGATGGTTTCCCAGTTTCTAATTAAGGCAACTATGGTTCCTTTTTGGAGAGCACATTGAAGGAGGTACTTCAACTTTTATTTTGAAAATGCAAATCAAAAGAGAATAGGGTAGTGGTAATAACCTTGAGTTTATCCATGATTTTTCTTTCATTTTTCAAACGGCAATGACGCCGGTATTTTCTTGTTATCTATCTCTTAAAAAAGAGCAATTTGTGCAGAATCTTGTTTGTTATATTATCTTTTTCATTCTTTCCAGTCTCAGTTTCTTGCTTCTGCAATACACTTGAAACAAAATTATATTGCTGAGAATAAAGTTCACTCTTAAGTACAATACTTCTTGCCATTGCTCGTACTGAATTGGCGCTTTCTATAGTATACTTTATTGTACTTAATAGATGCTTCTTTTAAGATAAAATCAGCTACAATTATTAAAGTTATTATTTTTTATCATATTCTTTGTTGTTTTCCAGGATAGAACATGAATTGAGAAAGCTTTCTGGGATCAAATTCAACTACTTGTGTTATCTGCAAAATTTGATGAAATGAAACTCCTGTTTCTAGTGGCAGCCGTTGCAAATCTATCTCTTTTATTACCGAATTTGCAACAGATTATTGCGGATCTTGATTCTGACAGGAGGGCTCTACTTGATTTTGCTGATTCTGTCCCGCATCTTCGGAAGCTCAACTGGAATACTAATGTTTCTATATGCTCTTCTTGGGTTGGCATAATTTGCAGTAAGGACAGAACTAGAGTGCACGAAATCCATCTTCCTGGGATCGGACTTTATGGATCATTCCCACCAAAAACAATTGGAAAACTCGATGATCTTAGGGTCCTTAGCCTTCGATCCAACCATCTCAATGGAATCCTTCCTTCTGATATCCTATCCATTCCTTCCCTCCAATCCATCTACCTTCAACACAATAACTTCTCTGGTGATGTCCCTCCTGCCCTCTCTCCTCGACTTAGTGTAGTTGATCTATCCTTCAACTCTTTTACCGGGGAGATTCCTTCCACAGTTAAGAACTTGAGGAGATTATCTACTTTAAATCTCCAGTTTAATTCGTTCTCTGGAGAAGTCCCCAATCTTGACCTCCCAAGGCTTAAGAGTTTGAATTTGAGCCATAACTTGCTGAATGGCTCGATTCCATATTCACTACAGAAGTTTTCAATTTCTTCATTCTTAGGAAACTTTCATTTATGCGGTTCACCATTAACTTCTTGCTCTACATTATCTCCATCCCCTTCCCCTTCGATTGACAATTTTTCACCTACAACTTCTGGAAGACATAATGCTTCTCACTCGAAGAAACTTAATTCAGGAGTAATCATTGCTATTGTGAGTGGTGGCTGTTTAATATTGCTTCTTCTAATTTTGGTGATGTTCGTCTTCTGTTGGAAGAAGAAAGATAGAGGCATTAGTGTGACAAAAGCTAAGGCCTCTAGTGGTGGAAAAAATGAAAATTTGAATTCTGAGGATTTTGGAAGTGGAGTACAAGGAGCCGAGAAGAACAAACTCGTATTCTTCGAAGGGTGCTCTTATAGCTTTGATCTCGAAGATTTGTTAAGGGCATCAGCCGAAGTACTTGGGAAGGGTAGTTATGGTACAGCTTACAAAGCTGTTCTGGACGAGGCAACTGTACTAGTGGTGAAACGTCTAAGGGAAGTTGAGGTTGGAAAGAAGGAATTTGAACAACATATGGAGATCGTGGATAGAATTGGTCGACACCCTAACATTGTGCCACTTCGTGCTTATTATTATTCGAAAGATGAAAAGCTTCTTGTTTGGGAATACCAGCCTGCCGGTAGTTTGTCTGCTGCCTTGCACGGTATGATTTCCTCTTGATTTTCCTTGTTCTACTGAATTGTGTCGAGCTTAATTGTAGTGTTAACTGTTCCCTCTACTGTGGAACACCCTTGATCCTAATCCACATAAAGAAGCTTGAGGAGACACTATTGTGTGGTGTGAGAGTCTCATACATAGATCTTTGAGATCTTCCTTGTAAATTTCTTCTCGATTTTAGTGAAAATTTCGCATTGTCGAGTAGACTTACTTTTCACATCAAGAGGGAACAACTATAAATGTCTGTTTTTCTGCTCGTTGATTTTGTTTATGACAAGGCAAACGTATAATGGACAATCAATCAGAAACCATTTTCTGTGTGTCCAGTTTCTTGTTTCTTACAAGGCAAAAGCATAATGGACAATCTTTTCTTACATCTAGTGCACCAGTAGATATTTCCGCTTGACATATTCTGTATGATGAACCACAATAGGTAACAGAGGCACCGGGACAAGTCCACTCGATTGGGATTCGAGGCTGAAGATTTCAATCGGAGCAGCAAAGGGAATTGCCTATATCCATTCTGAAGGTGGTGCTAAATTCACTCATGGAAACATAAAGTCCTCAAACATACTCCTCAACCCAGATCTTGATGGCCGAGTTTCTGATTTCGGCTTAAGCCATTTGATGAATTATTACCCTAAAAAATACCGAGGTGCTGGTTATCGAGCTCCAGAAGTGATTGAGATGCGAAAAGTCACTCAAAAATCTGATGTCTACAGCTTTGGAGTAGTCTTACTTGAGATGCTCACTGGGAAATCCCCCATCCAATCTTCAGGCTACAATGATGTTGTTGATCTACCTAGGTGGGTGAGATCTGTTGTTCGTGAGGAATGGACAGCTGAAGTTTTCGACGTGGAGCTGACAAGGCACCCAAACATTGAAGAAGAGCTGGTGCAAATGCTTCAGATTGCTCTTGCTTGTGTGGCGAAAGTGCCAGATATGCGACCAAATATGGACGATGTAGTTAGATTGATCGAGGAAATTCGACAATCTGAACTCGAGAACAGGCTTTCGTCTGAGGACAATATGTCAAAGGGATCCAATGTGCAAACACCAGAATAATTTGAGCTTAAAGCTTACACTTCAATTCTTGAAGGAATTTCAAATATATGTAGTCCATCCAAATCTTTCACCAATTCAAGGCCATCAACTGTTTCTCTGAACATTAAGATGAGCCTTATGCTTCCAAGTTTTTGCCTCTTTTATCTTGATGCAATTTCCCTCACATTTAAACCTTTATATGTCTTTTCTCTTCAGATCTTTTGGAACTTTGAACAAATCCATCTTTGTATAAATTATAATTCAGATGCCATATTGGAATATGCTGAACTTAGCTGGCTATTAAGGCAATGTTTGAGCTGCTCCCCCCCCCCCCATTGG